TCCTCAGTCAGTTCATGTTGGAGCAGATGGCAGAATCTCCTCCTTTTATTTATTTATTTTTTTTTAGATTTATTTAGTTATTTGAAAGGCAGAGTTATGGAGTTACAGAGAGATGGGGGAGACACACACAGAGAGAGAAAGGAAGAGGGAGAGAGAGAGAGATTGTCCATCCACTGTTTCATTACCTAAATTGTCACAATGGTCAGGGCTGGGCCAGGCCCAAGCCAGGAGCCAGGAGTTTCTTCCAGGTCTCTCAAAAGGGTGCAAACTTGGGCCATCTTCTGCTGCCTTCCCAGGTGCATTAGCAGAAAGCTGAATCAAAAGTGGAGCAGCTGGGACCTTCACAGGGACCCATATGGGGATGCCTACATTGCATCCTCTGTGCCTTAACCCTCCACATCACAATGCCTGCACCTCTCCTTTTTAAAGGCAGAATAATATTCCATTTTGTGAGCTGACACTTCAGAAAGTTCATGGAAAATAGAATTAAAATATTTTGTTTTGGTGGCAATCTTTTTGAAATCCATGTATAGTTTTTTTCACAATGAACATTTTTCACTAACTTTTTGTTAAGTTTTATAATTTTTTGTATTCATTTTTATAATTTTTTATTTTTATAATTTTTATAATTTTCTGTATTCATTTGTCCATTGGTGAACACCTGTTTTTTTTAAAAGATTTATTTATTTCAAAGGTTGAGTTACAGAGAGGCAGAGGCAGAGAGAGAGAGAGGTCTTCCATCTGCTGGTTCATTCCCCAGGTGGCTGCAATGGCCGGAGCTGCGCTGCTCTGAAGCCAGGAACCTTGGGGTGCGGGGGCCCAAGGACTTGGACTTGGACTATCTTCTCATTGCTTTCTCATGCCTCAGCACAGAGCTGTATAGGAAGTGGAGCAGCTGGGACTCGAACTGGCACCCATATGGGATGCCCGCACTGCAGGTGGTGGCTTTATCTGCTAAGCCACAGCACCGGCCGCAAGACACCTTTTTTTTCTTATAAATTTACTTCTATGAACACTGCTGTGATGAACGTGGAAATGCACATATTGTTATATGGTGGTGATTTCATTCCCTTTGGGTATATATCAGAAGTGGGATTTCTGTGTCATAGCATAGTTCTATTCTTAATTTCTTTTAGAACCTCCATACTATTTTCCATATGGGCTACACCAATCTGTGTTCCAACCATGGTGCACAAGGGTTCTCTTTGCTCCAAATCCTTGTCAACATTTGTTATCTCTTGTCATTTTGATAACAGATCTCTTAACAAGTATGAGGTGGTATTTATTAGTTTTGATTTGTATTTTCTGATGCTTAATGATGCTGTGCACTTTTCCATGTGCCTCTTGGCAATTTTTAAATCATTTTTGGAGTAATAGGTATTCAAGTGTTTTGCCCATTGTTTAATCAGATTACAAGTTTTTTTTTCTATTCAGTTGTATGTATTCATTTTACATCCTGGATATTAATCCTCATTAGATATACGATTTGCAGATATTTTTGTGTCTCTGTAAGCTGTATTTTCATTATATGGATTATTTACTTTTCAGTGCATAAATATTTTAGTTTTATGTATTTTAGTTTTATGTATTTTAGTTTGATGTAATCCCACTTATCTATTTTTGATTTTATAACCATAACTTTTGATGTAATGTCTAAGAAATCATTGTCACAGCCAATGTTAAGGAACTTTTCCCCTATGCTTTCTGCTAGTTTATGGTTTCAGGTCTTTCATTTAGGTTTTTATTCCATTTTGAATTGATGTGTGTGGTGTAAAATAAGAATCCAATATCATTTTTTTTGCATGTAGAAATCCAGTATCAAAGCACCATTTAGAATAAACTATCCTTTCCTCATTGTGTCTTTTTGGTATTTTTGTCAAAAACTAATTGACCATGTATGTTTGGATTAACTTCTGTACTCTATTTTGTTATACCAGTCTCTGTTATACAGTATCTGTTTATATGATACTACCACAGTGTTTTGATTACTATAGAATTATAATATAACCTTAATCAGGAAAGGTGATACCTCCAACTTTTTTTTCTCAGAATTGCTTTGACAACTAGGAATAAGGGAAGAGAGAAGGAAAGACAAAGAGAGAGAAAGAGAGATCTCCAACCACTCCCCAAATGACTATAGTAGCCCAGGCTGGACCAGACCAAATCCAAGAGCTTGGAGCTTTATCCAGGTCTCCCATATAGGTGCAGGGGCCCAGGCATTTGGGTCATCCTCCACTGCTTTCCCAGGTGTATCAACAGGGAATTGGATCTGAGGTGGAGTAACAGGGACTCAAATTGGCGTCCATATGAGATGCCGGCTGGCATCTCAGGTGGTGGCTAATTCACTATGCCACAATGCCAGCCTCTCTAGTATTTTCTTCTAAAAATTAAAAAGAATTGAATTTTCTATTTATACTATTAATCTAGCTTAAAAATTGCATGAGGTAGAAAAGATAACTAATTTTATTTTTCTCTAAAAAAAAAACCAGTTCCTGGAGGACCATTTATTGAAGTTTCTATTTGCCAATCCTTTTACTAAACCAAATCTAATTCGATATCTATCTATCTATCTGTCTATCTATCCATCCATCTACCTATATCTAGATAGATTAGATTAGATAGATAGATATAAAAGCTGAATTCTCTTGTATTTCCTTGGTTAACTTATCTACCCATGTGCCAATACTATACTGTCTTAATTACTATAACTTTCTACTATTAAGTTTTCATATCTCCACTTATGTGACCTTATGTGGAGTTTTTCACTTTTGCTTGCCCGTATCTATTTCTTGAAGCACTTGTTAAACATACATATAGATTCTTGGACCCTATCCTAGGCCTACTGAATAATAATTATTCCAATAAACAGTTCTCTTATACTTTTTTATATAACACACTTTTAAATTTATTACAAATACAATTTACATACTGACTGGGTAGGGTCTGATTACTTTGTATCTTCGGCTGGTTTTCCCAAGGCCAATTTCTAGAATTCAAATGCAAGCATTATTTATCTATTGATTAAACAGACACTAATTAGTTACAAGCTCAAAATTTAGCTTTTGTCCAGCAGCAAGTGAAAAGTAAAAGCAAGATGTCTTCAGTACATTTGCACTACTATGTGACTAACGAATGGATAACATATATAGTATGGTTACACTGGATAAAGGTATGATTCACCTCTTGGCCATATGGAACAGAATGACATGAAGTTTCATCTTGCTACTCAAACAGCATGAATTTCAATCTTATAAATTACTTATTTCTAGAATTTTCCACTTAATATCATTGGACCACAGTTTCTAATGGGTAATTGAAACCACAGAAAGCAAAACTGTGAATAAGGGAAGGAGGCTATTGAACTAATTCTTTACTACTCCAATACCATCATGAAAGCTCTAATTTATTCCCTTCTATTCACTTACCTCCAACATTTTCCCCTTGCTTCTATAGTCCAAGTTAAGTATTTAAATTGTAGAATATATTTCAGTAGGAAGATACTCAAGTGTGCAGAGAAAGTCAAATCATCTATGAGATTTTACAAATAAAGTTGGAATTCAATTGGACCCTAAAGCTGGAAGAAACTTAGCTAGGCAGAGGTGAAGATAAGGACATTTAAATCCAAAAGAACAATATGCAAATAAGAATGAGCTCTATGAACTGATTAACTATTTAGAAACTATTTAGAGCACAAAATTCCTGTTGGGTATGAATTTCATTCACTCAGTAAACATAGAATTAGTGTTGCAGGCACTGGATATAAACAATGGAGATACAAAAGACCATAAAGATACGATCCTTGCCTTAAATCTTACATTGTAACAGTCTCTGTTTCCCCATCTCAAAATGAAAAGATTGGACTAGATGTTATTTAAGATGATATCTAAGCTAAATATCTTTAATTCTGTTTTTAAGTAATCAATGTATGCATGTATGTACAGACTTTGCCATATTTGCATTTCAAATGTACATATCAAATTGAAATATTTTCCAGGGATAAGATATACATTTGGTACCATCATAAATATGGATTATTAGCTACAGTTTTTGTTGAAGTAATTAACAGTGCAAACTTCTTGGCTCTTCAAACATTTAAATCACTGTGTTTCTCATGACCCCTAGATTTAATCTTTCTACATATTCCTCAAAAAACCTTGAGAATCACGTTTACATCATCATACTCAACAATTATAAATATTGATGTAGCTTTACTATATGTGGGGAATTTGACTAAGTGATGAGGATTCTAAGAATTAGGTATAAGCTACAGTTTCTACTCTAATATTTACTGATAGATTGGCAGGTGGCTTTCTGGGCATTATTCATTAACTCACTCTTTTTACTGAAAGTTTTGAGTTCCGTTCCTATCCATTACTGATATTTTAAAGTTAAATTCTATGTGCTGTATTATATCAAAATATTCAAATTTGCACATTTCAAATCCTTTAGGAAGTTTGCTGTATTTAAAGGATATGACATTATGGTCCCTGAAAGCATATATAACTGGAATGTACAAAACCCCTACCAAAAGTACATTTTATTAATAAAGCTACAATCGATAGATATCTGTAGTTGTCATGACAAGTACATTTAATACCCACCATGTTTCTCTGCGGGTGGGATTCTGGGTGATGAATATTTTCTTCTTAGGTTCTTCTGGTTTTTTAAAAATTTCCACCAAAAAATTACAAAATAAGTGAGCATTTAAAATTATTTATTTTCACTTCTTCTTACTCATCTGAATGTTACCTATATCACAATAAAGAGGACTTATCAAATTAAGCCATTTTATTCTTTGATACTATACATTTGGCTCATTCTGGAAACCTTTTTTTGTTGGTGAAATATTTGTTTATTTTCATCCTGTTTTTGCATTGTGTATCTTTCCATATATATTCATTTTGTGAAAAATGAAAATGATGATAGTTACATATTAGCACAGAATTAATGACCTTAATATGAATTTCATGCATCTTTTTCTTTGTTTTCCTCTTTTCCAGTGCAAGAGTATGACCAAAATCTGTCACTACATAATTGCTTTGCCACCTGATGTTACAGGATCAGAAACAGAAGTTCAAGAATTTGTTACCACTGAAGAGAAGCCGCCTAGGGTGCAAGTGGTAAGCAATTTTAACAAAAAATTTATCACTAATGTGAAGCATTTATAAAAATTTATAAATATCTCTCAAATCCTGATACAGTGACAATTTATGCATTTTTTTATCTTTTATTCCAATGTTTTTCAATGTGCATAGTGGGTAAGGTGGTATAATCACATCTTTCTCATGTAGCCATATTAATTTTTAATGAATGTATCCTATACCATTGAATTTATGGACCATAATTTATTTAATCATGAAATTATTATTATATTTTCAGAATGCTATAAATTTTCAGGTGATAAAATTAAAACTGATATAATTAGCTGTTATGTATAATGCATTTTTAAGTATTTGAATAATTTCCTTGAATATATTCATAAAAGTTGGATTATGGTGAAAAGGGTATACAATTGTTTTAAAATTATTTGTATTTTAAAATTATATAACAGAACAATTCTCTAAACTCTATATCCTTTCCAATATTAGGTTTTATCTCTTTTCCCTGCTTCTGCTAGCATCATTTTATAATGAAACTTCAATTTATTTTAATTAGGAGTTTTTTTGTATGCTAATATGTTTCCAGCGTTTTCTGAAATTCTTTGTTATTAAAATTAATTTATATAATATGAAAATATTAACTGCTCATTATATAAAATGCAAAAGATGTGGATGAGCTTTTAATTGCTTAACTATAACAATGTGTATTTTGCGCAGTCTTTCTGCTTTTCATGCTTTATTATATGTGTGACATATATAGTTTAATTGTGTTGTCACAGTGTAATTTACTTGATATTTTCCTTGTGGTTGGCATTCCAGTTATTTTAAATTTCTGTTGTGCTAATATTATCAATACTTCTTTGATGTGCATATTTGTGCATCTTCATACATAAAGCATTATTTTTCAGGATCAGTTGCTTAGGCAAAGTCTCCTAAAATATAATGAAAAATTATTTTCCTAAAGGATTGTTTCAATAAATAGTTCTGTCAGCATCATTCATGTAAAATCAATTAATGATACTTTTACTACTTAAAGAAATAGAATTGACTACGTGAAAAATAATCTTAATCATATATGATTTTCTTACACTTAATGATGTCTTTTTTTATTATATTTATTAGCTATTTTTATTTCCTTCTGGCTGGATTACTTGTTCATAACTCTTGTTCATTTAACCAGTGTGGTCTTGGTGGTAATTTATATGTATTATTATATTACTTATATTTATAAATATCAAGTTGATTATGAAGATTTTCATAATACATTGAGTTAAGGTATTTTAAAGACAGAGATTAAGAAGTAAAAAAGATTAATTCCCAGTGAAGAGAGCTGAAATTTTTAAGGGCAGTATTGTTAATTAAGCAGTAGCCCATTCATAATATGATTACATCTGTCTTTTTTATTTACGTTAGTTTCTACTAGTTTTTTGGAGTAATGTCATTATGACTTAGAACTGCCTAAATGGAGGGCAAATAACCTTCATATTTTCTCCAAGAGAATGTTTTGATGTGAATGTTTTTCAAGCTATAGCTTGAAGTAACCTTTCAAATGTCATGCTAGTATTTTCAGAATAATATTCATCTAATACTAAATCTTACTTTATTGTTTTCTGTATTTGCATAACAAAATTATTACAGTTGCTTGGAAACCTAATTTTGATGTAACGATTTAGTGAAAGAGAAGGGGTAAAATTTCTTATTATAGAATTGTTTGGGTTGAAATAATCAGTTAATGATCTGAAAATTAATAGACTTTTTAAATCATAACTGCTCTTTTATTGTTCAATCAGATCCTGCTGTTATTAAACTGTAAATTGTGAGCAAAAAATGACATTATTTGCTGACAGTGAAGTACACAAAGTAATAATTTAAAATATTGAATAATAATGTGGGTTTTAATCAGAGTCTGAATTTTAACCATATCAACAAAATTTACAAATCTAAAACATGTTAGGAAATGAATGTCATAAATGCAAACAAATTGGAAAAAAAGAAAAGAGTTAGTGTATGAACTAGTTTTCTTGAAATCCCTGCTTTTTCACTAATTACTTAAATGTGGACTTCGACAACATTTCCTCCTTATCTTCAGTTTTCTCATATATAAAATGTGGAAGTTCAGTGAATAACAACTGAGGTCACTTACAGCTCTATAGATCTAAAATAGTTTAACATGTCTGCTGTCTTGTTTCTTTCCATAGTGGCCTCTTAGAGAAACCATTAATTAACGCACGTATTCTGCCCTGTGGTTAATTAATTCCTAATATGCAAATGGATTGAGTTTATTGGTTTTTATCAAAATGTTTGTTCTGTAGCTATAGGTTTTGCTGTACTGGGGGCAAGGAGGGAGGATGGTAGGAATTCCAAGGACAGCAAATCAGATTTTTTTCTGAATCATACATTATCAGAGGAAAATTCAGGTTTTCAAGAGCTTGATCTTTATGTAGTTTGGGGTCCTTCTTTTTAAAAAATGCAAAATTGTGAATACAAAATAGCATACAAATTGAACACCTAGAATTAAAAAAATTACAATGGATTATAAATTTATAAAGCTGCTAAATACTGTAAACATCAACTACTCTCACAGCATTGGCAGGAGCTGATACAAGAGAGGGGCCCTCTGCTGCCATTGCTGGAAGCCAGGTGACCCCCAATGGCCCAATCACAGGTGTCAGCTCCACCCCCACCCTAATGAGATTCATTGCTCCTACTTCCTTGCCCACTCCCGGCAAAGTTTAAAGAGGACCTGTTCCTGAACACGTGGCTCTCTCACTCTCTCGCTCTCTCTCTTTTTGTCTCTTGATATCTCTCTCACTCTCTCTCTCAATCTCTCTCTTACACTCTCCTTCTCCCTCTTTTCCTTCCTCACCCTTCCCTCTGGTCTGTTGGGTTTCCCCACCAATAAACCCTTCTCTTAAAAAAAAAAAAAAAGAGAGGGTCCCTAAAACTTAAGCTTTGTTAGCTACATGGTAAATTTAGGCATGCTTGTTCTTGTGTGTACTTCTCTCTGGCTCCACTCCTTATTTTTAACAGTTCTTCTAACACCATGGACACAAGGTACGCGAAAGAAGAAAACAACATTGGAGTTCAAACTGTAAATACTGTATAAATATGGCTTTTGTGTCAGCAAGGAATGTACCACGCCAGTATGCTTCCCTTTATATTAACTACCTGGGTTACTCTTGCTCTATCTTATTCAACACTGACCACAAAGTTGCAGCCTCTTTGGTTGGGGTGAAAAGCTTAGGAAATGCTTTAATTTAGATGGCTAAAGACACCTACCCACAAATGTGGCCTAATCTCAATCACATTTACAACAACTAATAAGTTTCTTACCTGGGACTATTATTTCATGTCCAGGGAAATGTACTGGCACGTTGGCATCATCAACATCCTGTCACACTCATCTTTCATCTCAGATGCCGATGGCTGACTCTGTGTGCTTTTTGTGCACTTCATGTGTGGATAATTCTGACTGTTGATTTGATCAAAGCTTGTGAACACTTCATCTGTTTTCATTTTCATAGCCTATTTTGTTGTACAATTGAGGTTTGTATTGTGTGCTATGGTTTTCTTTAGCAGAGTTTCTTCTAGTTTTTGACAATTAGTTAAAATACAGTGTTCATAGTATTGCAATGCTCTGAGTAGGCAATGATACTATAACTATAGGATCTATCATGTTCCAGGAAAATGTGACATCTATGCCAATTCTTGGTTATCAGCATCAGCATTCCAAACAAAATTCAGACACAAAATTTAATTCTACCTTTGGAATTTAGTATGTAGATTGCCAATCAATAGGTGTGGGTAGAAATCAATATGCCTTATTAAGAAAATGGACTAAAAGTAGAGGGAAGTTACCCAGAAATGATTAAATGGTAGGAAAAATCAACTGTAGCACATGAAAAATGGAGAAATTAAGAAGTGATTGTATCTATCTAAGTCGATATAAACTTATCTAGTATTTTAAATTTATTTATTCAATAAGCAGAATGCTATACAGACAGAAAGAGCTCCTATCCATTGGTTTACTCCCCAAATGCTCACATTGCCCAGGGCTGGGCTGGGGCTAGATCCAGGAGCTAGGAACTCAATCATGTGCATTGTAGGAACCTAAACTTCTTAAGCCACTTCCAGTAGTTTCGAAGATTTAAAAATCAGATAGGCTTAAATATGAACTTCTCTGTTTTCAAATAAATCAGTAGTAGAAATATAAGAAATGCTAGAAAAGAACTACAGAATGTGTGTTTGTATGTTGACATTGTGCATGGCTATAAGTTATTTTCATTGTAAAGATGCATCATGTGAAAGGAGTGTTGTCTGTCCCTCAAAATGCAGTACATTGTAGAAATCTATCATTTAGCTCCAAAACGTGGCTCTGTCCTTCTACCTTTAGAAGCCAGATTTCAGTTCTATCCCCGGGAGACAATGGAAATTATGAACTATGTTACAAAATTGTCAAACTTCAGTGCTTCATCTCTGCTCAAAAGGAGAAGCATAGAACCACTTAGCTGACATTTTGTTTCTATTCAAGTGACAAGACCCAGGAAATGAACCAGAAGCCTACAGTTAGACACGCTAGGCTCCCAGCATTCTAGATGAACATTTCTAAAGTAACCCTTCAGTCAATGACTGCTACACACCTCCCTCTGGGATGGAGAGCTGTGTTAAATGATCCTCATTAGGAAGATGCTTCACAATAGCTCAGATTTAAACAAGTATTGATTTGGAACTCAGAGTACCTGACCTTTTCTTTTGCTTTCATTCTTTTTGCCACTCCATCTCTCTTCTTTCCCTCCATGCTCTCCCCCGTTGGCTCCAAGTGCAATATAATCAGTTACTTGAATACCCACAGTCTTTCTTTCATGAATATTTTATGCAATGCTATGGGAATGGGGCAGTGAATTCAGATTCCATGAATGGAAATTTAAAGAATGTCCATGATCCTTTATTGTTTACCCTGGAAGACACAACTCCATACATTTTGCTCTTAATATGAGAAGATCAGTTCATGTCTTAATTCA